ATAACCATCAGATTCCAACATCATGAAATTCTGTATGAATAACAGAAGGCCAACTATTTCACACTACTAGGGCACTGCGAATTTGAGAATTTAACTAAACTGGATTATTATGAATAGTAAAGCATTTAATATTATCTACTCACGACACATGACTCAGGGAGTTCAAAGAAATCAAATCATCTGTTTAATCCTGGCTTAAGACGAAAATATTTTACGTCTGTCTCTATGGGAAATATACAACAACAAAAACGTGACTGTGAGAATTAGAGGAATAGTTTCAGTATCTCGTAAATACATTGAAGATTATTAATAAAATTAAATATATAACAGTGACATTAGTGTTAGAAAAATAAGACAATCCGATAAATCAATAAATCCAATTACATTACAAGTACTTTCCAAGAAAAGTAAGAGTGTTTCTTGTAGAAAAATCAATTTTATTACGTTTCAACCAGCGTATTTCACTTAAGAAAAATGAGGTAAAACTAACTTTACAGAAATTTGAAAGCAGTAATTGGAAAAGGAGGCCTGTGTGAGCTGTAAAATATAGCGGATTTTCAAATCATGGTATTTCCAATTGACGGAAATTTTCCTTTAAATCTGACAGCAGGTACAGACGAAGATGAAATTATTTTCCTTTAATTTCAAGTCCCTCTTTCATCTGTGTGGTCATGTGGATTCATGTGAGAAAATAAACAATAATTATGTTCGATGAGAATGTAGAACATCGAAATAAGAATATATTAACTGCTTACGAATTTATCCTAGCATCTACTCAATGCGACTGAGGAAAATCAAAATAGGTAATATATAAGAGTACCTTCAGCGCTTATTATACTGTAGATCGTCCGAACATGACCCAGTACTGCCACAAGGCTCGATACGAACGTTATCTAATGCTTTAAAATCTAACTAAAAGTGAATAATATCAGGAATATTTTCTCTACGTAACAATGAGCTGGAAGAGCCCAAAAGTTCAACGGCGATAACAAGAAACGCCCCGCTAGACACAGTCCTAAATCACTTCTACTCATCCATTGATCGGCTATATCAATTTCTCTACGAAATATAGGTGTTCCATTCAAGCTTCCCACATTTTATAAGATCTTAGAACAGAACGTATGAATTGTACGAAAATGAAGCTATAGGAAAAAAGAAGAACAAGTAAAAAAAATTATTTGACACACAAATATACCTCTACATGGCACCATTGGTAGCACGAACAATATCCGATCTGTATTCAATTTCTTTCCACGTTCTTTCCAACCTGTCCATTGGTACAGTAGCCCTCGTAAATCTGTGAGGTCATTCACTGGAGGCACGAACACATGGTCCTTCACGTAACCCCAGAGGAAGAAACAGAGCGCAGTGAGGTCCGGTGAGCTTATTACGAAGGGGATCAGATTACTTTCCTGCTCCTTTCATAACACATACGGTGACCTGCCCGAAAGAAATTCTATTACATATGGAACATTAAATACCACACTTTGCAAAAACTGTCATCACATACGTAAAGGGAGATCTAAACTAAAACAAAGTTCTAATTAGTCTCATCAAGTTTACCACACAATTACAATAGCTGCCAATCTTCATTCCACCAATTGCTCCACAATCACCCTCACCTATAATGTGGGGGTGGTACAATAGGCCAGAAGTGGCCGCAGTACAAGGGACTTAGTCCCACCTCACTAGCAATAAAAAGAAAAGTAAAAATTTTGTGATGTAAACAAAGGAGCCACAGATGTGTGATGTGACGGAGAATCGCTTTCGTAACAATCTAACGTTCCTGAGGATGGCAGGCATCCCAATCAACACAGAACATGCATCTACACTTCATTCAACCTGTAAGGTCTTGATGACAATCAATGTTTACGCGCTGTACCTCGCATTTCATATGGATATCATCATACACAACGATGATTTGAAGAATTTTATGACGAGTTTCCGAATACTGATTTCGAGTTCAGTCTCATATTGGGTGCAACAAACTAGCAAATCACCCAAACGACATCCTACAGCCACTCGTTGAACCGCAGCACAATCGAAGACTCCTAAGACACTGGCCAGCTGACCTAAAAGAAAACTAATGAGGAACCTCCCACTGGGGAAGGAACTCACCAAGTCATTAAAGAGCATCACAGCTCTTACGCCAGCAAACTAGCTTATAGAATTGTAGATTCTGATTGCTAAATAAATAAATAAATAATAAAAAAAAATTGGGTGCATCTTAATTTGAGTAAATCAAATATTATATATACTTGTTGTGCCACAAGCTACTTACATCCTGGTATTAGGAAGTATTTAGTGTCTACATGAAAAAAAGATATACATAAAAACGAATCGTAATACCTGATTGCAGATCAGAATATGGTGATTTAAATAAATGTGCAAGTGATACACTGGTGAAAGTAGCGAAATACGGCATAACCTGACACTGCGACTTACAAGATTTCGATAATGTTACATCACACAGAAAGTGGCATAACGAAGAGTAATTTGCCTATACTATGAGGATGATAGGGCCACGCGGTAGCGCAGTTGGTTGAGGGACTATGCTACAAGCCGGTAGGTCGCGGGAACGAATCCCGATGAGGGCACTGGATATTTTTCAGTTTACCTAATCCTTCCACCAGCACTATGGCCCTGGGGTCAACACAGCCTCAAACGGAAATGAGTACCAGGAATATTTCTTTACCTTATGGGACGTGCCAAATCACGAAGCGATCTTTAGGGTTTTGTATACTGTATTCTTAGATGTGAGAACGTGTAGCTGGCTATAAGTTTATACATATTCAAATGGTTCTGAAGGAGATAATCCGTTCTCCCGAAACGTCGGTTACCGACAAGACTACAACATGTAACTGAAAAGTTGATATTTTTTAACATCTTTGTTTCGACTTGTGTTCCAGCTGGCGTTTAATTGATTTTGAGCGTCTGCTTCGTCTCACAGAATCCTTCACATGGGAAGACCAGCCGACCAGAGACCCTCACACCGGACACCGTACACTAGCGGGGTGGATACCGCACCTTCAGATAGTTATGAAATATGTCTACGCATTCACAGCTTTCTACCACCTAGAACAATCAGGAGTAAGGATGTATACATCTCATGAATTGATGTACAGCGCGTGGTACCCTTTTGATACTATCAGCAGCCCGGGATACGAAATCGCAAATCTCATGCAGGTCATTCGGTACTTTTACTTCTTTTAATTTATTGTAATCAGCTACGCATGGAAGCCATGGAATTGAAGAAAGACAAAAGTTAGTTTCATTAACAATAAAATTGTCATTGGTCACGATAAAGTAAGTTATACTTTAAATTGAAATTGAAGTTAATTCCAGTTGCTCCAACGAAACTCCAGATCCAGTAACTTCTTGAAAATCGATGAATATTTAGAAGTATATTACTTATTCAGTACACTTTTTAAGCAGTTCCAGTAATGGTGGGCCTTATCGTACAGTGTGGGCCCAATTACAATTGAGTCCTCAAACGGCAACTAGAATACATTTTCTATTTGACAAATATATTCCTGAAGAAGGAAATTCATTTCTCTATTTATATTTAATTTACGTCATGCTTCTTCATTTCGAGATTTATTTAACAAGAATAGTTATTTTCGTACATCTGGATCTGTAATAAATTAGTCACAAAATGATTTGCGCTTTGACTGATTCGTTATCTAACATTTATTCAGTACCAATATAAAAATATGGAGTTTACTGGACAACTAAATAATGTGAGTTATCATATCTAAGTGATTCTGTACTATATAAACATTACATGGGATAGAACATGTTAAATGAGGCGAAATATCTGTTTCCCTATCCTCTTCTGTATACGCGTTGAGTGGTCACACTGGCTCCACTTCGTATGCAGTGCATTTATGGGTCCACTGTGCCACGTCTGGTTGTCAGATGAATATGGATGCTTCAGTGCAATGTGAAATAGCAAATAAACTGAAATACCTGGGGGAAAACCGCAACACTGCTACGTGCCCCACAATAAATCCCAGAAATCATAAACTGGGACCAAACCAAGGCCGGCATGGTGGGAAGCCAGCGACTAAAATGATATCAAATATGTTGTGTCCAAATCATTACTTTCGCTTTCTGCCATCTTGTGGTGTTCAGTTCGGCAGACTCGACTGAACTGTAAGGATACGTGAGGGTGTCACGGAGTTCTGGAGTAACTGGTTGCTGCATCTCAGCATAAAGGGAAAGGTTCTAGGCAGAGGATATTAGTTAAACAATAGCGCTATCCGTGTAACAGGCTGTAGAAGCACATACGGTTCCGAGACGTCGAGGTTCCTATATTTTCTACAGTCTAGAATCTAGACATTCGGCTCACAGCGGTGACCCTGACAGCATTACTCGCCGGCCGGCCGGCCGGCCGCTCTTTACTCCAGGAAAAATTCCTGGTACTCATTTCTCTTAGAGATTGAGTCGTCCCCAAGACCATAATGCGACTAGAAGGATTAGGTCAGTTGAAAAATCTAAGGATCGCATCGGGAATCGAAAAAAAAAGGCCTTCTGGTTTGCAGCATAGTGCCCCAACATACAACGATACGTTCCCCCCTTGTAAAACATGGCATAGCAAAAAATATTTCCTTTTTAAATAGTGTATGTGTTCAATGTCTATGATAATTAAGTCTCTTGCTGCCAGAAGGTATTAATTACGTCATAAATAAACACTCTTAGGTATGTTATCCTAGTAATGTTTGGATTATTCATACTTCATGATGTGAAACATAAAGTTAAGTCGGAAAAATATTTTTTTTTTTACATTTATGGTCAAACAGGGTTAGAGAATACGGCGTTTGCTGCAGTTACGAATAATATGATCTAACGTAAGTTTTGACAGACTTCCTCATAACTTTATTTTCTACAAATATTTTAAATCCTTTGAACCGTGCAACGGTTCTTCTCNCCCCCCCTCTCCTGGACGCAGTCCGAGGCTTCCTGCATACTAAGAACGAATGCCTCTCTCCCCCGTTGACTTCGGGAAGGTAACATCGCTGAGTCCAAATTTAGTTTCGTTATGTTGAATTGATTTTGTGAAATTCGGTTTCGGCCAGTAGCAGTGTCTGAAGGGGGAAGAGTGCCCTCACGACGTGGTCAAGGCTGGATCAAGTCGTGAGGTAAAACTTTGTGCTGTAATTCAGGAAACGCAAGTAAGTGACTTACTGTTGTAGATGGTTTCCTTTCAATTATGAACGCCGTGTGGCGTTAGATAATTTGGTTTGGTTTTGGGTTGTGTTGAACAGCTGATCGCCCCTCAGGCGTGTTGTAACTTGTTTATGTTTCCTTGTGCCCTTAAGGCTGGCGTAAGTACATGTTGTACTGGAGAGTGGAATGACGCCATGAGGCGAGCCAGACTTGAGTTCTGTGCGGCTAGGCACAGCGTAGCCCTGTATTAATTATTTATTACTTGTTCTGACCAGTCCCTGCCCATCAGGCAGAGTCCACCTGTATACTTATGTTAACAATATATATATTTATTTATATGTTTGGAAACGCCAGTTGTATTTATGTATACTTGTGCTGTCTGTTCCCTATCAGTTCGGACTAGCCGATCCGCCCAGCTTGGCCCATAGTGCCGACAGTGGTTTTCATCTCCCGAGATCCCCTACTCGACCTTGGGGAGGCATAGTACATCACGTGCAAGCAAGTCGTTTCTTATGAGCCTGTCCCTTACCCAATTGAGCAGGGGTTCACGGTACTGAGTGGGTAGAAGAACGGGGTTCTTTACCCACAGGGTCAAGGGACACGGCTCACCTTATAATGATATTATGATGGAAAATAAATAAGTTCAATGCATCTACATCAAAAACAATATTGGCAGAACTTGAAAAAATGTGGTGGATGAAGAAAAATACGTATCTTGTCCTATTTGCACTTACGTTTCTGTCACTGTCTTCCCACCAGTGACAGGAACGTGACATATTCAACACGACTGCTTCACTGGCAGATAATTCCATGACAAAATAAGCCGGAAGAATGAATCGGAGTGTTCGAAGGACAGTGTGTGTGTGTGTGTGTGTGTTTGTGTGTACATTATAGAGTGCTGGAGTGGGGATGTGTACAGTTATGGTTGTGTAATCTCCATGGCATCCTGACATGAAGCAGCCTCATAAAATTATTTGAGTTTAAAACCAAATCAGTACGAATATCAACTAGAAGTGGAATTTTAATTAGAAGCTTTAAAAACGGAATGGGACATTTCATTCCGAGAACAAAAGTTTCCTTCAACAGGAAAGATTCAGTTACTCTCACGATTCAGAACAAATCAAGCCCTCAACGGCGTTAAAACACGGAGTTGCTGACGTTTGAGAGCAGAGAGACCGAGATGGGTCTCCTTGCCTCTAGAAGGCTCACACGGCAGGAACAAGAGGCTCACATTCTCCACTAAACAAGACACTCCCCTACGTTACCAGGGAAACTGCCTCTCTATTGCTCTACTGCCCTTTGTTGGACCTTAGTCAATTTTCAGTCTCTCGATGTTTTACACAGACGGTCGGATTCCTTGGACCAGTGAACAGCGCGTCGAAAGGCCGATACCTACACACAGAACAACATAAACACAGAATAAACACATACAGACATCCATGCTGAAAGTGGGATTCGAAACCACGACCCCAGTGTTTCAGCAGGCAAACACAGTTCGTGCCCTGGACCGCGCAGCCACTGTGATCGTCTTACGAGTAAAATCGCTGACACAAATTCTAATTATTCCCCGTGTCACTCAGGCAAACATCCTTACAAGACTACGAACGGAAATTAGAATTGTCTTGAAACTAAAATTACTTGCAGGGAGGTGGGCCATGGGAGATTAACCAAATCTGATGTTGCGGGGTTTTTGCTGCACTCTCGGTTACTTGCTGAACTCAATCAAAGACATAAACTATACTGTAACGATAGTAAGTACCACTATTGCGCTTACTTGTCCACTGTAAATGTCAAAGCTACTCACAAATTGTAAGCGGTTGTAAGGGCAGCAAGCAAGATGCAGACCTAGGGAGGGGTGGTTCCAAGATGTGACGTATGAGCTAAGGCGTGTGAGGATTGGTAAATGGAAAGAGAAGGCACAGGAACGAAAACATGACGGCTAATTGTGAAGGAAGCCAAAGCTAACCAAGGGCTGTAGAGCTGAGAAATAAGAAGAAAAATGGTAGCAAGCTTCAAATTACTGCATCGTATTGAAACAAGGTGGAAGGGGGAAGATTGAAGATCTACGTGAATATGAAATACGCAGGACATAAAAACACTCGAAATGAAATATACAGAGTACAGTGAAAGAAATATGTTATATTGAAGACACACATTAGATAGATTGCGAGGTTTCGAATGTAAATATCGTACACGTTGCTAAGATGCAAAAGCTACATTGAAATTAGCTGACTAACACATACAGAATGCAGAAGTGAATTAGAATTAGTCTTACATGTACTTATGCTGACACTTCTTGTCCAAAAAATTATACACGATATTTAATAAATTGAGTTAAAGGTTCAAAGGGAACTCGGTTAAATGATCAAGTCCAGAAAGGCCGCACCATAGATCAAGCGGTTAGTCGACGGCTTTACACTGCGGTGGCCCTGGTTCGAGCCCAGGTCAGCTCTTGTCGGATTTGTGGTGGACCATGTAACACTAGGGTAGGTTTTCTCCGAGTACTTCGGTTTCCTTTACCAATTCTCATTCCACAGTCAGCGCCACACTCCGCATGCATTACCCGGGGCTGGCAAAATAGGCCAGCAGTGGCCGCTGTACCAAGTGGAATCAGTCTCTCCCCATCCAAAGAAACTAAAGAAAACAAGAAGTTTCCGTCAACTCATGTCTAGAAATCACTGCCTACTGAGATACGGACGAGTTTTCGTGATGTTCACATGTTGAGAAGAGACGAAGAAGGACCCGGGACCCGTGTGTGAAGAATTGCAGCTGCTGAAGGTGTGGGTACTCCACTTGTCTACTAGAGAGCTCTCCTTACCCACTTACCCACACAACATCCACCAAGTGCAATCGCTCACTCCTCCTGACCACCGTACAAGGGCGGAGTTATGCACATTGGCACCTAGCAAAATGCCTTGTAAACACATAGTTTGTGGTTAAATTCTGTTTACTGACGAGGCAGCATTCACAAGGGTCGGTATTGCGAAATGTCATAATACCCTCGTCTGGGTGGATGATAATCCCTACACCACTGAGGCATCAAGACATTAACATCGATTTTCCATGAATGTCTGCAGAGGTTCTTACGTCATCAATTCCAAGAACTAGCTGTCTTACATAACAGATTAATGGGCGCAATGTGCCGTCGTTTTTTGTGAGTGATTTAACAGCAGCTCTTGGAACTTATGCCACTTCTTCACAGACAGTACACGTGGTTCGTGCATTTTCCTCCGCATTCTCAGACAGCACTTCAAAGAGATTTTCGGTGGATACTGAATAGGACGCGCGGGCCCCGTCAACCAGTCTGCGAGACTCTTGCACTTACTCTAATTTGACCCTGTGACTACTGGGACACTTAAGGCTTAAAGGTATCCTTGCAATAGACCGTGAAGTCCCGTAAGGTTGTGAGAAGACGAGGTTCCCACATTTGCTATACAATCGGCTCAGAGATGGAGGTAAAGTTGTCAGCCCTACGCGCCGGCCGCCCTTTCCTCCCCAGAAAGATACCTGGTACTCATTTCTGTTAGAGGCTGAGTAGACCCCAGGACTATAGTGCGGCTAGAATTATTAAGCAAATTCAAAAAATCCACGACATCCGGGCTCGAACCCGCGTCATTCTGGCTTGTAGCATAGTACCTCAAACAACTACAAACCCGCGTGCTTTCGGTATTACAGTAACGAGCAAAATATGTCTCTCTGGAGATTCGAATAAAAGCAGGGATTTTCGACACAGTGCGAAATTCTGTGCAGCAAAGACCTGAATATTGTGATGAACTGCATGGGAACCAAAGGCAAGGTTTTCTGCTGATTCCATAAGCACATTATCCATATCTCTGCAAGCATTCGCTTCTGCGCACACCTTGAATTTTTGCTCACTTTATTTACTACATCTACTTACTCGTATATCCTGTAACCACCATAAAAAGACGGTATAAAATTACTCCAAAGAGAGAGGGATATTGAGAGAATGGAAATTTTCCCGCATTGTTTTATAAACAATTTGAATTATCGTTCATAGAAGTTTTCAAGCCAAAGTTGTTCACTTCCTGAACAAAGTTACAGCTCCTTCCCTCGCGCAAACGCAGAAGAAATGAAGCGTCACAAAGGAACTGCGCACCTCATAAAAATTGCATGACAAAGAACGACCGCTGCCTCAGGCAGACCTGCACGCCAGTGCTGAAGGAACGCCTGAGCACTTAAGTTGAACCGCGTAGCCCCTGAGTGGCAGACGTCCATGTGTGCATTGCAGCTAAAGTTGAACTGTTGGTGTCACTTGCAACAATATCTATCGCCTTTCTTTCCGTACGTATTTCTGTCCATAAGAGAAGAATTTGATGATGAACACGAAGGAACCGCAGTCTTGTGATGTGACGGAGAATCGCTTTCGTACCGTTTTAATGTTCCTGAGAATTTCAGGCGTCCCAATCAACGTGAAGAAAGGGTCCATACTACATTCTACCTATAATATCTTGATGGTAATCAATGTTTACGCGCTATATCTCGCATTTTATATGGATATCATAATACACAACGATGACTTCAACAATTTTATGAAGACTTTCCGATTAGTGAATGCCAGTTCAGCCGCATATTGGTTGCATCTTACTTTGAGGTAAATCAAATATTATATCTTCTTCTTATATTGTTATGCGCTACTTGCATCCAGGTGTTAGGTAGTGTTTCAGTGGCTACGTGAAAATATTATACACAAAAATCAAAACCTAATACGAGATTGCAAGTCCGAACATGTTGTAAGTGGATGTGCAAGGGATACGTTGGTGAAAGTAGCGAAATGCGGCATAGAGTAACACTGCGACTTACATGATTTCCATAATCTTATATCAAACAAAAAGTGTCATAACAAGATTTCTGTATCCTACGGGAAGTGTCGAAACACGAAGAGAAATTTATTAGGTTTTGTGAGATTTGAGGCTCCCTCAGCGGTGACTACTGTATTCTGAGATGTGAGAACGTGTAGTCTGCTACAAGTTTACCGATAATTCACATGACTCTGAAAGAAGGATGTAACACTTTGTTCAGAAACATGCCCGATCTACAAGAGTACATCATGTAATCATCGAAAAGTCGATACTGTTTAATATTTTTTCGGCATATGTTCCAGATGGCGTTTACGTGATTTTGAGCGTGTGCTTCGCCTCACGGAATCCTTCACATGGGAGGACCAGCCGACCAGAGATCCTCACACCGGACACCGTACACTAGCGGGGTGGATACCGCACCTTCAGAAAGTTACGAAATATGTCTACGCATTCACAGTTCTGCATAATCTAGTTCAATCAGGAGTACGGATATATACATCCCATGAATTGGTGTTCAGAGCCTGGTACCCTTTTGACACCCTCAGCAGTCCGGGATACGAGCTCACAATTCTTATGCAGGTATTTTCATAATTTTACTGCTTGGAATTCTGTTGTAATCAGTTGCGCATGGAAGCCACAGGGTTGAAGGTTGACAAAAGTTAGTTTCATCAAGAGTCAAATTATCATTGATCACGTTAAAGTAAGTTGTACTTGAAATTGAGATTATAGTTAATTACAGTTGCTCCAATGAACTCAACTTCTTGAAAATCAATGGAAATTTAAACGTAAATTAGTTATTCAGTGAAAGTTTTAAGCAGTACCAGTATTGGTGGACCTTGTCGTACAGTGTGGGCTAAATTTAATTACTCCTAAAACGCAAATAGACTACATTTGAAATATCAGAGAACAGTTTACCTATACGGACTTTACTATACTCTTCGTTTGAACACATTTCAATCAGATTAACTAGTAACAAGACTACATTTTCAAATCGACAAACATATTCTTGAAGAAAGCAATCCATTTTCTCTATTTATATTTAATTGGCGTCATGCTTGTTCATCTCAAGCCTTAATTTTAATCAACCACCATTTTCGTGCATTACGGAACATTTGAATCAGGAATAAGTTAGTTAAACACTGATTTTCGTTCTAACTGATTCGTTATCTAACATTTGTTCATCACAAACATAAAAAATGTGCAGTTTACTTACGACTAAACAGTGTACGTTATCTGAGTGATTCTATGTTACATAAACATTACATGGGAAAGAACGTGTTAAAATAGGCGATATATTGGCTTCCTTATCCTCATCTCTATAGGACTGGAGGGGTCACGCTGGCTCCACTTGGTATGCAGTGCATTTATGGGTCCAGTGTGCCTCGTCTGTTTGACAGCTACATTTGGATCGGTCACTGCAATGTGAAATGGCAAGGAAACACAAGTACTCGGTTGAAAACCTACCCCAGTGCTACGTGTGCCACCACAAACCCCACACATCATGAACAGGTCTCGAAACAGCGCCTCCATGGTGTGAAGCCAGCGCACAACAGCCTGGGCAATGACATCACATATGCTGTGTTCAAATTATTACTTTCGCTTTCTGCCATCTTGCGGTGTTCAATTCGGCACTCACCTGAAATGTAAGCGAGGTGTCACTGAGTTCTGGAATGACTGGTTACTTCATCATAATGGGAAGATTACAGGCAGAGGAACAAAACTCAACCTCCGTGGTCTGTAGCGAACTACACCGACCGAGCGACCGCCGCTTGTCGACCAAGTTAGTGCCAACTTTTTGAGGATAGAGGGCGTCACGTTATCAGTGAACGGATCCCCACAGCCTTTAATCTCGACTTTAAGAGCGGAGCCGCTATTTCCTTGAAATAGATCCCCAGTTATCCTCACTAGGTTGAGTAGACCCCGTTCCAGACTCACTACATCTCAGAAAATCTGGTAGCGCTGGGAATCGAACCCGGGACATCTGGATCTGTAGCCAGGGACTCTGACCACTAGACCACAGATGATATTAGTAAAAAGTAACGCTATCTCTGTTAACAGGACGTAGAAGCCCATATGATTGTGAGATGTCGAGGGTACTATATTTTCTAGACAATTGGCTCACACATATCGGTGACCATGTCAGCCATACGCGCCGAACCAGCCGCCCCTTAGTTTCATGAACATTTGAGGTACTAATTTCTACTAGTGGCCGGGTCGGCCTCAGGGCTATTGTGCGGCTAGAAGGATTAGATCATTTGAATTTTGAAGGATCTCATCGGGAATCGAACACACGACCTTGTGGCTTGGAGCATAGTGCCTCAGCCAACAACGCTACCGCTCCCCTCCGCAGAAGTAGGTTATAACTAAAAAAACTCTTTTTTTAATAGTGTATTTTTCAAAGTATATGATATTGAAGTCTCTCGCTTCAAAATGTATTAATTATGTCATATATAAACACGGTCTAGTACGTTATCCTACTAATATTTGGATTATATATATTACATGATGTGAAACATGAAGTAAATCAATCCTGAAGCATTACGTACTATATCCTTTCGAAACGGCATTACCCATCGACAGTTTACATCTAACTAAATTCACAGAGCTCATCCGTTCTTGAGAAACCGTCAGTTATCCAGCTACTCAAGAAATTCACAACACTGTATGGAACCCGGAAGTTTATTATACTACTGCCCCATCCCCCTTCTCTAAGAACCATTTTAATATTATCCATCCACCAGCGTCTTAATCTTCCTATTGGTCTTCTCGTCCTAGATTTCAGACTAATATCCTATACCAATATGCATTTGCCTTCCCCCTTTCGAGCTACATGCCATGCCCACCTCATCCTCAACTTTAACATTCCAAGTACATTTGGCGAAGATTACAAGTTATGAAGTCATTATTGTGTACTTTCCTCCAATCTCCCGACACTTCATCCTTTTCTGGTCTATGTATTCCACTCAGCACCTGTAACCGTCCTCCTTAATCCTACGTTGTGCTCCCCTTATCACCGTCCTCTCTCTTCTAGTGGATGTCGCGAAGTTGGGTGGGAAGGGAGGAGAATTGTGGTTGTTGGTGCTGGTAGGCGAGAGTTCGCTTCCTGTACACCCTTAGGTGTCTCGCAAGTAGGTAAAGACGGGAAGATCTGGGTTCTGCTCTGTAACTGGTAGATGTGAGTTCTTATTCCGGGGTCTTATACGGGTCTGGCTCGGGCAGGGCAGGAAGAATCTTTCACTACAATCACACACACCTCTTTACACCGTTGCACTTAGTAATTATTTAATTCACTTCCGTTAACTGAATACAACGGAAACTAATGTTTACAATTAATTGTATTTAATATGTAATACTTTCTTTTCTGAAGGAACGTAGTGGTAAATTTGAAACTGACTTCGCCGAAAGTTGGATGAAGACTCCTCGAGGTGGAATGCACTCTCTCTGAATCCTGAGGTTCACGAACCCCAGACTCCAGGAGAAATCCACTCCTCCACTTTGCAATTGGTTAAGTTTTCAAACTAGGAGGTTCCCTAAATTTTGAATTCCCAATCATGTTGCTTTACTATATGATTCCGACAGATGCTGACCTGACGCTAAGTTTGACAGCCCCTTGATGCATTACGATCAGGGCAAGAGGCTCCGGCCGTCCCACTTCTAAGTTATCGCTGTTCCGAGCTGTCAGCTCTCAAATTCTCAAAGACTTTCCGACTTTGCTGAAACTGCCAGAATTCCAGGAAAGTACCAGATGTTACTTCCTGTCCACATAACAAAACTTGAACTATGTCCCTTCTGCGTGTAAGAGTTGGCTATCTGCCGGATCTCTTCGTATTTTCTTGATATTATCTTAATATAGGTATAAATAATACACAATAGTCCACCAGTTAGAATGAACGGTTACACACACCCTACCCTCAAACACATTCGGTATACGTTCCTCCATTAATATCAGAGACCAAGTTTCACACCCATGCAGAACCATGTTTCATACTCATATAAAACGACCGACAAACTTGTAATTTTGAACGTTTTAGTCTTCATGTTTTTAGCCTGTAGATTACAACACGTTATCTTAAAAAAAAAGTAATACGATTATATTGTACGGATCTTCGGAAAACCCATTTCCGTATAAGTTTATGGAACCGTGAATAAAATATCCGATAACAAACTTGTTATAAAATTATTCTGAATGTGGTTTTAAGATCCTCAAACATGTGACTGAAAATGCATGGCAATACATAAAACCGTTTCTACATTTTACAATAAGAAAAAATAATCCTTGGCACTACAGCCCCAGTGGGCCTAGGCCTACCTCCATGAACTTCTCCGTTCACTTCGGTTTTTCTAGATCTTACACATTCGGTAGGACTCCTTGGGCGGATGATCAGCTGGTCGCAAGGACAATAAGACATTATAACCATAAATACAAATGCGTTTGTTCAGCGAGTGATAATAAATAGTGGGTTATACGATATTTACGAAACTGCAGCTGAGATAAAACTCAAATGGACAACGTGACAGAGATCAGAAAGTCAACATAGCTGTAGCCTGATTATAACCACGATATGAATCACAGTGTTGTCTAATTACGGCATAAAAATATAGTTATGAAGATGCATGTCTGCTGAAATGTGGCGGCGTTCAGTCGGGCAGAATGTTATTGGAGTTAAGGTGAAACCTGTTGCCTATAATTCCCGCCTACGTCTTTGCATTGAATAGGTAGGAAACAAACTCACCGTTCAAAGTCGAAAAAAACACATATGCCTACCTAAATCTCAAAAACACTTCCGTTCATATGATATACTGCAAATATACATACGAGTATATTAAATTACTTCCTGTTTCATGCATATTCCACAGAAAAGTATATAACAAACGTAAACGTAATATTCATAAGAAAATATGTATTAATATGGAAGTTATATTTTTCCTTGTAGATATTTGCAACAAATTTCTACTTGACCATTTTCTGTGGGTTCCAACTCTTATATGCTACGCTGATTATGGTCGCGTGCAGTCAGCTGCAGAAGCTCAGAACGAACCTCTTGGACATAAAACAAAAACTGGTTCCATCAGGAGCTGATTCTGGCAGTGACGGGGAAGAAGAGCCAGTTTCCCGCTCCGAGGACCGGTTCTGCCGCATGCAGACACAACTGAACGAGTGTGTTCGGCACCATCAAGCCATACTGCAGTACGTCATTACTTTCACAGTACACGTGAGTTCATTACAGGAAGTGGTAAAGGTAAGGCTGTCCCTCTGCTCAATTAGTTAATCACCACGCCATGAAGACGTATGGGGGAGTGGGGGAGACCTACGCTTTTCTTGACCTTGGAACTAGTTTAAGATAAGAGGTCAGCTACACGCCCCCGCCGCATTGACCCTGGAGAAAGACTCCACGCTAACGGATAGCTGGTTGGGCACAAGCGTCTTTCTAGATGCCGAGGAAAAATAAAAAATTCTTGCACCGCTGGGAATTTAATACCGGTTGTCCACCCCGTAACCGGTCGCTATACCGCCCGAACTGTCCCCACTCCCATTCCGAATACATAGTAACATTTTTGTAAAATGCCCTTTTTACAATTTCAGGTACATGCGAGCTATGGAAGACACAATGAACTTCCTGTTTTGTGGTCTGTTCCTGATACTGCTTACTACACTCTGCTTCTTTTCCTTCTCCGCTGTCGCGGTAAAATATCTATTTCTTTCTGATTATGCAGTGATGTTTCAATGATAATTTTCGTGTGTTCTGAACATTTATTCTTTCTACGTATCAGTGCACATACAGACAATGATTTACTACTGCTATGCATTATCAAGTTCTATATGTCATGCGTCTAAAGGAACTGGGGATTTATAAAGAAATCTACCCTTTTAACAGGCCGTGGAGGTCCATAGGTTCGTCAGACGTCAAGGCTCCCACATTTTTACACAGTCGGCTTACAGATGACAGTGAGGTTGTCACCTTAAGCGCCCAACGCTTTTATCCCAAGGGTGATACATGATTCTCATTTCTATTACAGACTGAGTCGATATGAGGTCCATAGTGAGTCTGGAAGTAATATGTCAATAAGAAAATCTAATGACATTGGGATTCGAACCCACGAACATTGTGCTTGCAGCATAGTGCCTCAACCAACCACACTACGGCGTGCCCCGGGAATGTATAAAGGGGATCATTAAATGCTGATCATTTCTTAGAAATTTGTAACTCCATCGATTTACTTTTTCCTTTAATTTCTTAGCCAAAAATAAAATTCATTCATCTTTTCCGAAGTTACAGTCCGAATTGTAGAAAAGCGATCACATACGTTTCGATAGGACGAACGGAATACATTATCAGATATCAATGAATTAGGAACATTTCATTCAGAAAAGTATTTTAAATAAAACACCCTATAGAAGCATATTCGAAAAGAAAATATTTCATGTAAGCAAGCAATAATTTATAATTTGATGTTATAAAGCTGATCTATTTTTCTGAATCTGCCCCTCTCTTCATGCAGATACCCAGTCCCCAGTAACATTGCAATAACTGCAAAAAATATTCACTGCAAGTTCTTCTTCTTGCCTTTCAACGTGTAGTGGTCCTATGCTGCAAATCCTAATGTGGCTATTCAGACGAAACTCATTTTTATCTCGGGGACCTGAATACGGATAATATTTGAAAAAAAAATGTATATGTAGACCTACAATTTTTAAGCGAATGTTTCTTTTTTATCTAGAGCTGGGGAGACATAACCGATTTAACGGAAATTCTCATCATATATGTAATGGCGATATTTTACGTCTGTCTGTTATGCAGACTTGGGACGGAACTCACGCTACAGGTATGTGGAAACTGTAATTGTATTTGTACACAGTGACTGGTATGTTCCATATTCGTTCTGAAACTCCTGTTACATGCGTAGGGGCTACTGTTCCAGGCTGAAAGGGTGAGAGACGCTGCCTGGGGGTGCGACTGGGTGGGAACCCCTGTCTCATTTCAGCGCTGTCTGGCCTTCATCATCGCCACAGCCAACAAGGAGTTCACACTCACAGCCGGGAAATTTGTGCCTGTGTCCAACTCCACCATGATGAGTGTAAGTACATGCGAGTAAAATGGAAATGGAATGATTTAAATTGCATTAGGCTCATTACATGTACCTCCAAAGTCCACAATTCTTTACCATCTAAAGGTTTCGAGAAGACTGAATGCGAACATGTGACTTCGGAAGATTAGCCGCTTTTGTTATTCAGTAAGATGCCAGTATTTCGGAAACTGTCCTCATTGTCAGGAACACCGTTTCGATATACGCTCCATATCGAAGATTAGAAGTTTCAATTGTCTTCTATCAAAACAGGAAGCATTTTAATTGATTCATATTTGGACCATACATATCGTCCTATTTTTAATGTGGACAATTTTTCAGAGATTCGAGTCTGTTTCCGTCCCCAAGTAAAAAACAAATCAATTCAGCTGGGCCCAACTCATATAACCAGTCCATATTTCCGCATATCAGAACCAGCACAAGGTAGGACATAAACAACAAACTACAGAAACCATCGTGCCAATTGCATGGGACACTGCATGGTCTCTCATACGTGGCATTCTAAAATATTTGTCTGAACTCCAGCAAATGGTTTTTGTTTATATATTCGGACTTAATTTGGTTCTGTTGCCCGAAGACAAGGACTTATTTTTCGACTGGACCAAACTGCAGCTGCTATATTTCAACTGTACTCGACGTCGGCTATCTTCCAACTGACTGCTGTGTAAGTCTGTCTCATTTTACGATCGACGGTCAGTCGGCCAGTCTGTCTTGGCATAAAGCACCCATCTGGAGCTTGCTACCAGATCTTTCTTACTGTTTGACAGGTATGGTTTCTTTTTTGTGGGCGCCCTCTCTGACGAGAGGGTGTTTCACGACTTTAGGGCATAACTGCAGGAGGTGATTTCTTAGGTCTTTGTGATCAAAAAAGTACATATAAACATGTGTCCGAATTTGGACGGTTACGGAGTTATGACCGTTTTTTATTCCCGTACATGCCCTCATATAAACCGCTTCTTTCATCTGGCAGGTCGCTATTTTAAGCCAGCTACAGACAGAGCGTTCTCGTTATCTCGACACTTGAGATGTTCCTACGGCGGGGTGGGTTGGTATGTCCGGCGCGGTTCACACAAGAGCGGCAGCCTGTGTTGCGGCCGGCGGTGGCATTTTTGAGAATCAGCTTTAAGCACCAATAAATTCAAATTAAATGTAATTTCACGAAGTTAACTTTACCTTCATACTTTAAATGTATCATGTATTATGCTGGTTTATTATTTTGTTTCGTTTATTGTCAGTAATCGTTACATTCTATTGAGAGTTTAAAATTGTCATAACTCCGTAACCGTCCAAAATCGGACACATGTTTATATGAATTTTCTTGATCACAAAGACCTAGGAAATCACGTCCTGCAGTTATGCCCTAAAGTCGTGAGACACCCTGTATATGCTGCTGGTCCTTGCCAGCGCAGTCCTTCTCGGGTCGCAGTCCCTTTCCACTCGAGACCATATATTAGTCTCAAATTTGAGACTTCCCCTTTCGTCGCCTCCTACGACTCGCAGGGTCACGGTGGAGGTATTCGAACCCGGCTCTACACGGGCTAGCTATCTGAATAGTGTTCGCTGCTCCTTATATAGGCTCGGCAGGGACCACATAGAAAACACATTGCTCCTCGGCAACAGATATCGGGTATTGTTGTCATGTTGTCACGCATTGCCTAGCAATGGACGCCCTACTGTTGCGTGAGGTCACAGCCTAACGGAGAGGGGTGTTTATCGAGCGTTGCGTAGTGACTGGATAAGTGAGGATATGTGACGTCATTCGCACTTCCTGTTGCCCAATCCAAGCGTTCATAAGTCGTCACCTAGCAAAGCACCGATACAATCCGCAAATCTCACGTTGCGCGCGTGCCCCGAGGCCTCGGTGTCTCAATAGTTCCTGCATAGAGCAAATACGCAAAAATATACTAAGTACAATAATAAAGAGTACAGAACATATTCATTAAGATATCGAGTTATGTCAACAATATTCAACTTATATAAAATTATAATGGATTTAGTAATCCACTCTAGATTGCAGCACCACCTACTGCATACAATTATTCCATTAAATTTAGCTGCCTTTCCAGAGTTTTTCAAGTTATTATAGTTATATACTCTGTGAGAAATTTGTTCTTAGTAATTTATCTTTGAAATTTCAGGCATTAAATGAATTTGTAGCAATTCTTCATAAAACATGAAATATTTTGTTTGTCACCAGGTAATGAACGAGTCCATCTCCCTATTCATGTTTCTACTCACCATGAAGGACAAGCGTGAAGAAACTGTCACGGAGTAGTCTACTCAGCATGAAGGACAAGCGTGAAGAGACTGTCACGGAGTATCCTACTCAGCATGAAGACCAAGAATGAAGAAACTGTCACGGAGTAGCCTACTCAGCAACAGAAACTGGAAAATGTGTCTGCTCCACACTGCAATATTTATTGTGTTTTGTCCCCTCATACTGATTTACAAATCCCACTGTGGCACAACCATTTGCACAATTCTTCAAGAAAAGTATTATTTTTGACGTAGTATAAAATGGGTAACTAACTGTAACTACTAGGATCCGAGGTAAAATTAAAAAAAAAAAATTTTAACTAGAATCTAATTGCTGTGTTATGTCAAACTTCACTTAATGGAAAGAGAAAAAACATGCAAGAAATCTGTTCCTCAACTTAAACTCTCAGCAAGCAGGAAACTACATTATTAAATGATATACAGTGAAAACAAAATAATGGCACCTTCTTCTCATAATATAGGAAACACAGGACAACTTTATTCTTTCCGCTATAGAGAAGGATATTTACTGCAATACAAGTATAATACAGCTGTATTAACTTTCTAACAACACAGCACAAAGTATATGTACTGACATAGCCATTCTCTTCCTTATTCTGTTATACATATTTTTGTTAAATTAACAAACACTTACGTAAACTTGAAACTCATGAATTTCCACGTTAGTAATTACACTCTGAAACAAATCACGCGAGTGAGTTACGGGCTGTGATATTTAAAATTTACCACCATTCATAAAGAAATCCTTTATATTTCGTTTATCAATTCCAGGGAACCTATGTTTCCTCCAAGGAACCTATCTCCCCTTGTCCTATGTCCATTGGCACATCCACTGAATGATTGTCATAACCACCAGATTCCAACATCATGAAATTCTGTATGAATAACAGAAGGCCAACTATTTCACACTACTAGGGCACGGCGAATTTGAGAATTGAACTAAAGTGGATTATTATGAATAGTAAAGCATTTAATAATATCTACTCACGACACATGACTCAGGGAGTTCAAAGAAATCAAATCATCTGTTTAATCCTGGCTTAAGACGAAAATATTTTAAGTTTGTCTCTATGGGAAATATACAACAACAAAAACGTGACTGAGAGAATTGGAAGAATAGTTTCAGTATACACTGAAGATTATTAACAAAATTCAATATACAACAGTGACATCAGTATTAGAAAACTAATACAATCCGATAAATCAATAAATCCAATTACATCACACGTACTTTCCAAGAAAATAAGAGAGTTTCTTGTAGAAAAATCAATTTTATTACGCTTCAATTATCCCGTATTTCACTTAAGAATAATGTGGTAAAACTAACTTTATCGAAATTTGAAAGCAGTATTGCGAAAATGAGGCCTGTGTGAGCTGTAAATTATAGCGGGTTTTCAATTCATGGTATTTCCAATTGACGGCAATTTTCCTTTAAATCTGACAGCAGGTACAGGCGGAGAATAAAATTTTCTCCTTTAATTTCAAGTGCCTCTTTCAACTGTCTGGTCATGTGGCTTCCTGTGAGACAATGCGAATGAGGAAAATCAAAAGGTATGATAATATAAAACCTACAGCGTTTATTATATTCCAGATCGTTGGAATACGGCGCTGTATGCTACAAGGCTCGAAACGAACGCCATCTACTGCTTTAAATTCTAATTAAATATGAGTAACATTAGTAACATTTTCTCTGGGTAAAAATGTGGTGAACGGTACCAGAAGTTCAACGGCGATAACAAGAAATCCCCCACTGGACACAGTCCTAAGCCACTTCTACCCATCACTTGATCCGCGCTTTCGACTTCCCTAGAAACTATTTCAGTGTCAACTTCCAGTCTCTGCCGTCTTCGACGTCCTCCTTCCTCCCCATATGTTACGCCCCCCGCACTGCCCAATATTTCGCTGTCCTAACTCTTATTAACACATTCCTCAAGTTTCGGCACTCACGCAGCGAAGTGGAATACGGCACTTACTACGGAGGAGATCAGATTAATTTCCTGCTCCTTTCATAACACATACGGCAGCCTGCTCGAAAGAAATTCAATTATATTGTATATTCATATGGAAGATTAACACTACACTCTGCAAAAACTGTCATAAGATAGGTAAAGGGACATCAAAACTAAAACAAAATTCTAATTTCTCTCATCAGCTTTACCACATAATTACAATATACTGACTGGTGCATTGCATCACTAAGTAAGCAAATACCACGGAAGACCCCAAATATCTGTATGCATACACATGGCGATATCAATGAAGAAGTATATAACAGTCTTCACGGACAAGTGAAAATAAATGTAACTCTGTGTTCTTCCAGGACACCAGCATGAAGCCGGCAGTAAGCAGTGTCTACTTACCTGGCTGCCTTATCACACCAATCTCCAAGTCTTCTCTTCACAGGCTGACTTCCCATTGAAAAGTGACAACTGAACTCTATCACCAACAAGCTTCTATTAGCTAAACTCCGCTAATCGGATTTCTGAATCTGGTTTAACTAGATGCGGAACAAATGTAGAACACCCCCTCAGACAGTTGATTCTCCTGTTATCCTCGGTTTCCACGTAACGTGTTATCAATCTCAGGGTAACACCTTTATTTATACAACCGTATTTGTTGCCACGGAAACGTGTTTCAGTTAACCGTTATCTAGCAACAGACGTACCTGTTGTGCTTTTCAGACTGCACAATTCCGTCGTTTATGTGTCATGTCACAGTGTTCTTCTGGTATCTCGAAGGATTCGGGAAATTAAACAACCTCACAAAGGAATTCAGATATTTAAAATATAAATTAGCACAAATGTCACACATCCGTGCAAGCCTGCAAGTGGGAGACAAGAACGGTTGTAGTGAGAGAGGCCACGAGAGTTTAACCAAATTTGGTCTCGCCAGGTTTTACTCTGCTATTAGTAACTTGATTAACTCCTTCGAATGCCTTAAATACAGAACGCCATTAGTAAATACCACGAGTATATGGTCTTACCAATGACGACAGGCCGCGCCATAGCTCAAGCGATTAGTCGCTGGCTTCCCATCGCGGCGGCCCGGGTTCGATCCCGGGTCTGGTCAACTGAGATTTGTGGTGGACAAAGTGACGCTGGGGCAGGTTTTCTCCGAGTACTTCGGTTTCCCCTGCCAATCTTCATTCCAACAATTGCTCCACAATCATCCTCACCTATCATCGGGCTGGTACAATAGGCCAGCAGTGGCCGCAGTAAAAGGGACTTAGTCCCACCCCACTAGCAATAAAAAAAAATGTCGACAGGTGTTGTGCCCTGAAGGCCGACTCCCGGTAACATATTAAAAGAGTATTTAACTTTTTTATTTTTTTTATTTTAGGGGAAAATGTTGGCTAGAATAGAGTTAGTTTTGGGAAATACTTGTAAGACGTACGAAAGAGGATGTAAGAAGGGTTAAGAAACTTCAAAGAATTTCTGCGTAGAGAATTAGACGGACGTTAGACTTTGACGCGTCGATGTCTTGTCAGCAGAATTACGTTGAAGGTACATCGAAATGCTAACTCTGAAAAATCTACACTTGAGTGAGGGAGGAACGTTTGCAGGTAAAAGTGTTAGCCAAATGGACAAGCAGTAATGGGGCGTGTCCACCCATAAGGATCCCAACCAACGAGAGCCGCCACCTTGGGATAAGACGTCATTGGAAGCGGACCTGCACCCTTCGGGAAAGTAATCAGTTAGCAAGAATAAAGATATATAACCCAGAGAGCAAATTAGTAACGAAATGATTCAAACCGTAATTTTGGCCAGTTGTCGCCGAAGGCTATGCTGGAAGAAGCTCCGCCTGGGTGCCAGGCAACGCCATCCGTCTGCAGTCTCAACGCAAAGTAAGTGGAACTACTCTTATCGCAATGCTTAATGATTGTGATATTATTAAAGTGTAACTTCCTCAATGGGACATGAGTTAGGAACGTTAGAACAAGGGTACAGAGCGTAAGAGTGATTCATCAGAGGGATGCAGATGTAGGCTTGTGTAATATGGAGACTGCAGAGGGTGTGTCTAGCTGCAGGGATGTGTAAAGATATTGTAGCGTGTTTCGCGTGTCACGCTACAAATAAATTCACGTAGGTCTCAAATTCCGTAGAACTTTTATTGTTCTTCACACGCTTTACAATTGTTGGCCTACACAATTTCTCGGCGGTACTCGACTGTCTTCTGCGGTGGATGTTCCAAGGCTCTTTTTCGACGGCTGGATAAAGACTGACTGTGCGAATGCATTCAACCCCGCTATATGACCTCGGTCGCTGCTATGCAACGAACCCTTTGTTATAACCATGGAGACTCCTGTTAGAACTACAATAGAGCGACTTTTGTTTCCTATGCAACAGTCTATTCTAGCGTTTCCACAGAAGTGACTCTTCTGGATTCCCGACACGTTACAATATATATATAGTGGATGAGTAGAATATGAGAAAGAGGAGACTAGCGACCTGCAACTGGGTGAAAGGAAGGCTAAGATGAGGTCCAAGAATCGTCTAAGAAGGTGCAATGTGTCATCCGACACCAGTCGACTCTTTAATTGTGATATTACTAAAATGTATATAGTTGTGTACTGATTGCTTATACTAATATAGGGTAGCATATGGTGAGGATGTGGGTTTTTGTTTTTGTGATTTCCTCCCTTACCACATTTCGTACCTGCGCCCTCCTGCCAAGCCCGGTGAACAGTGTGCCCCTAGCCAATGAAGCAACGATCGAGGAAGTAATTCAGTCTTTTTCTTAGCCCCCCCCCCATGTCTACAGTACAACAGGAAATAACAACTGCGCTTGCAAACTGAAATCGGCTGCGCGGGAAGCAAAACTTCAAAATGGTGTATCCTACCGTTGCAGGAAGGGAGGGGGAATAGGGGATAATTCTGTTAATATGAAACAGAAAAATCTATAAACATACTCGAAATTAAACAGAATGAACACTTCCAAATGACTGCTTCTATTGAGAATATCAGTATATTAGAGGATTTGTGATATTCCGAATATAAACTTTGTGTTGTGAGGATGCAAACACTGCGACGAGATAACCTTGTTCCCCCTCTCAGTATGAAATAACACTTATACTATGCCAAGGTCAAGTAGCTGATCTCTTATTCGTAATTACAAAAAAAAAAAAAAGTAGATATGCGTAAAATATAAATAATTTCTATAGAACTGGCTGAGAAACTCGGTTAATTCTGTGAATCCATGACATAACAACTTCCCCGTGTGGTTAATTACACAATTTTCCAATACCTGTATATCAGTTGAAACTTTTCAGGTGAAGGTAATTGCTTTCCTGGTCAAAGTAACCGCCCTCTTCAGTCACGCAAACGCAGAGGGAAAGTTAAGACGTCAGTGAACTTTGTGCCTCATAAATATTGCACGGCAAACAGTGGACCGTAGATCAGGGAGGCCTGTACAGAAATGCTGAAGAGATCCCTGAGCGCGTCAGTTGAACGCCGTCGCCCCTGAGAGGCAGACGTCCGTGTGGTCACTGTCGCTTAGACTGAAGTGTACGTACATCAAAATTGTCTCGCTTCATATTCTTACGTACTTGTGCCTGCAAGTAAGGACTTTTGTGATGAAAACGAAGGATCCGCAGGCGTGTGATGTGACGGAGAATCGCTTTCATATCATTTTAACGTTCCTGAGAATGGCAGGCGTCCCATTCAACACGAAACATGCATCTACATTTCATTCCACCTACAGCGCCTTGATGGCAATCAATGTTTACGCGCTGTACCTCGCATTTTATATGGATATCATCACACATAACGATGACTTTAAGACTTTTATGAAGTCTTTCCGAATATTGATTTCGAGTTCAGTCTCATATTGGGTGCATCTTAATTTAAGGTAAATCAAATATTATATCTTTTTATGGTGTCAAACGCTACTTACATCCCGATATTAGAAAGTGTTTTAGTGACTACGTGAGAACATTATACACAAAAAGCAATCCTAATACGAGACTGAAGGTTAGAATATGGTGGTGATGTAAGTGAATGTGCAAGTGATATATTGGTGAAAGTAGCGAAATATGGCATAAACTAGCACTGCGACTTGCATGATTTTCATAATGGTACATCAAACAGAAAGTGCCATAACGAAGAATAATTTCTCTATGCCTACTAGAAAGATGAAAATGTATGTAAAAAGATTTCCATATCTTACGGGAAGTGTCGAAACACGAAGCGACCTTTATCAAGTTTTGTGAAATTTGAGCCTCCCTCAGCGGTGACTGCTCTGTTCTGAGATGTGAGAAAGTGTAGTATGCGAGAAGTTTATCGAAATTTCACATTACTCTGATGGACGAGGTAATCCTTTCTCCGAAATGTCGGTGGCCTACGAGACTACATCATGTAATCACCGAAAAAATCGATAATCTTTTACATTTTTCTTTTCGTTTTGTATTCCAGATTGCGTTTAAATAAATTTGAAAGTCTGCTTCGTTTAACGGAATCCTTCACATGGGAAGACCAGCCAACCAGAGATCCTCACACCGGACACCGGACACTAGCGGGGTGGATACCGCACCTTCAGAAAATATCCAAATTTGGCTTCGCATTCACAGCTTTCTTCCATCTAGTACAATCAGGAATACGGATAAATGAATCTCATGAATTGATGTACAGCGCGTGGTACCCTTTCGACACCGTCAGCAGTCCGGGATACGAACTCGTAATCATCATGCAGGTAATTCCATACTTTACTAATTCTAATTTCATTCTAATCAGTTTCCCGTGGAAGCCATTGAATTGAAGAAAGACAAAAGTTAGTTTCATTAACAATCAAACTGTCATTGGTCACGATAAAGTAAGTTATATGAGCACTTGAAATTGAAATTAAAGTTAAAGTGAGGTGCTCCAAAGAAACTAAGAACCAGTAACTTCCTGATAATCAATGAACATTTGGAAGTGTATTACTTATTAAGTGCACTTTTAAACAGTTTCAGTATTGGTGGGCATTGTCGTACAGTGTGGGCCCAATTACAATTGAGTCCTGAAACAACAATTAGACTACGTTTCAAATCGACAGATATATAGTTGGTGATAACAGGCACTTTTACCTCTTTATAATCAATTACCGTCATATTTTTCATTTATATCTTCAATTATCATGTATAATCATTTTCGTACGTTACGGAACATTGGGATCTGGAATAAGTTAGTTACACGTTGGTTAGCGCTCTAACTGATTTGTTACCTAACATTTGTTCATCATCAATATAAAAAATGTGCAGTTTATCGAGGAATAAACAGTGTGCGTTATCTTATCGAAGTGATTCTAAACTACATAAATATTACATGGGAAAGAACATGTTAAAGTAGGCGACATATCGGTTTTCCTGTCCTCTTCTGTAGGGTCGCGCCATAGCTCAAGCGGTTAGTCGCTGACTTCCCACCGCGGCGGCCAGGGTTCGATCCCGGGTCTGGTCAAGTGGGGTTTGTAGTGGACAAAGTGGCGCTGGGGCAGGTTTTCTCCGGGTACTTCGGATTTCCCTGCCAATCTTCATTCCACCAATTGCTCCACAATCACTCTCACCCATCATCTGGGGCTGGTACAATAGGGCAGAAGTGGCCTGAGTACAAGGGACTTAGTCCCACCCCACTAGCAATATAAAAAATCCTCTTCTGTATACGCGTGTACAGGTCACACTGGCTCCACTTGGTACGCAGCGCACATATGGGTACAGTGTGCCACCTCTGGTTGACAGATGAAGATGCGTCGGTCACTGCAATGTGAAATGGAGTGGGAACTGAAGTGCATGAGGAAACCCCGCACCAGTGCTACGTGTGCCACCATAAATCCCACATAACATGAACCTGGGTCGAATGGGGGCCCGAAATAGTGGGAAACCAGCTACTAACAACCGTGCCAATAACACCAATATCGTATGTCCAACTTATTTTATCCGCTCTCTGCCATCTTGCACTGTTTAATAATTCTGAAATCTCAACTGTAAGGAAAATATATTGTCACCGAATTCTGGAGTAAATGGTCGCTGCATTTCAGCAGAAATAGGAAGATTCTAGAGAGAGGAAATTATTTAAAAAATCACTTTATCCCTGTAACAGGCCCTTTGAGGTCCATAGGATTTTGACACTTCGAGGGTCCCACATTTTCTAGACAATCGACTCATAGTTGGAGGAGAGTTTATCAACCTTAAGGTTATCAATGTTATCAAAGTTTCGTAGAAATCTGTTCCCTCAAGTTCCTTAGCATGTTACCTGCATTTGATAGGCAAACAGCAAACTGATACATCAAAGTCGACAAAAACACATATAGGTACCTCAAACTAATAAACACTTCTGTTTATACGATATATTGCTTCTGTTTCATTCATATTCGACAAAAATGCATACAAGCAATATAACGTAATATTTTTAAGACAGTATGTATAAATACGTAAGTAAGTTATATTTCTCCCCTAGACATTCGCAACATTCCTCTACATCAGCATTTCCCTCGGTTTCGCACTACTATATGCTACGCTGGTTATGGTCGCGTGCACTCAGTTGCAGAAGCTCAGAACGAACCTCTTGGACATAAAACAAGAACTGGTTCCATCAGGAGCTGACTCTAGCAGTGACGGGGGAGAGGAGCCAGGTTCCCAATTCTGCCGCATGCAGATGCAACTAAACGAGTGCGTTCGGCACCATCAAGCCATACTGCAGTACGTCATTACTTTCACAGTACACGTGAGTTCATTACAGGAAGCGGTAAAGGTAAGGCTGTCCCTCTGCTCAATCAGTTAACCACCACGCCATGAAGACGTATTTGGGAGTTTAGGGAGAGCTATGCTTTACTTATCCTTGGCAATAGTTGGAGGTGAGTGGTCAGCTACACGCTCCTACCGTTTAACCCCGAGGAAAGTGCCTCCATTAACCACTGAATGGAAGGCTGGTTGGGCCCCACAGTCGGTCCAGAAGTTGTACAGATGAGAAAATCTTGCATTATCGGGAATCGAAGTTTGGCCCGTTGATATACCGCCCAAGGCATTCCGACTCCCATAACTGACAGACAGCAACAATTTTCTCAATTGTCTTTTTACAATTTCAGGTACATGCGAGCTATGGAAGACACACTGAACTTCCCGTTTTGTGGTCTGTTCCTGTTACTGCTTACTGTACTCTGCCTTGTTGCCTTTTCCGCTGTCGCGGTAAAGTATTTTTTTCTAACTATGCAGTGAAGCTCTAGGTAAACTTTTCGTCTGGCCTGAGCACATACTCTTTATACTTATTCATGCATTTTTAGACAGCCATAGACAGTCCTGCATGTTGTGTTCTGTAGGGCCTGGGGATTTACAAACGAGATTTTATATAAACACTACTATCTTAGACATTTGTAACTCATTGGATTTCCTCCTTCTTTACTTTCTTACTCAAAAATGAAATTGACTTCCTCTTTTTCCAAATTACAGACCAATGGTAAAAAAGTAATGATATATATTTCGATCACATTAATAGAATACGAGTATATTATCAGATATCAATCAATGAGGAACGTTTCATTAAACAAACTTTGTTAATTAAAAAGTCCTACATAAGCGTACTCAAATGGAGAGAATTGAATATAGCAGCCAGTAATTCAGATCTGAATATTTTACATATTTTCTACTTTTTACTGAATAGCCAGTCTCGTCATGTAGGTACCAGTCCCCAAACACATTGCAATAACTGCAAAACATATTCACGGCAACTTGCGCTTCCTGCCTTTCAACGTGTGATGGGACTATGCTGCAAATGCTAATGTGGCTATTCAAACAAAACTTAGGCAACGCTTACGAAAAGAACTCTCTTAAAGTTCTAAATATTCAGAGTTATTTCTGCTGTGACAATACTGAAACATAACCGAAAATTTTACTTTAAGTTCCATATATAATGGAAATAAAGCATAATTTCTCATATAAACTACACAGAGCCTCAAACGTGCATTCACAATCAGAACTATATAAACAAGAATGATTCCTTAACGCCTTTTCAAAAGAAAATAGATTAATGTAATTGCGGGGAAAACAATGTTGTTAACAGAAATATAATAAAATTTAAGTTAATGTGAAGATTATACATTTTCCAGTAAATTAAACACAACTATAAAAATTTCATCAGTGTGAGACATAAACCGAACGGTGTTTCGAAACATTCTGAGAAATGTAAATAGGCGAAAACCTAAAGAAAGTTTTCATATATTTCATCTTCCATACATAGTAAGTAATACTGTTAGCTTACGCACTTTATATACTACATTCATGTGCTTATACAAATAGCTTAAAGTCGGCTCATTATACAGAGAAGCAAATAACTTTTATTTCGGGCATATCTGTACGTGAATTTTAAGAATACAGGTAGAACTCTCAAAATTACATAAAGCGGGAAGAAAATTGCTTGCTTCTAGCATCACAGTCATCACGATATCCATTGCAGAAGAGGAAAAATTACGAAAATATGAACACCTTTCAGTAACTAAAGCACAACGAACAAAATCAGGAATGATAGACTTCATTCTCGTGTCATAATGTAGGCGTCTCTTGCCTTGACACATGCTTATATAGTCCACATAAATGCATTTACCTCACGTTTCTCATAATCTCATATATAAATACACAAACTCATTTATATCTCCGGGACTTGAATATGGCTATGAATATTTGAACAAATTTGTGTATGTAGACCTACACGTTTCTATGTAAATGTTCCTTCTTATCTAGAGCTTGGCAGACATAACTGACTTAACGCAAGCACTCATCTTATATGCAATGGCGATGGGTTACGTCTGCCTGTTCTGCAGACTTGGGACGGAACTCACGCTACAGGTATGTGGAAACTGTAATATTTGTACACGCTGACTGGTATGTTCCATATCCGTTCTGAAACACCTGTTACATGCGTAGGAGCTACTGTTCCAGGCTGAAAGGGTGAGAGACGCTGCATGGGGGTGCGACTGGGTGGGAACTCCTGTCCCATTTCAGCGTTGTCTGACCTTCATCATCGCCACAGCCAACAAGGAGTTCACACTCACAGCCGGGAAATTTGTTCCGGTGTGCAACTCGACCATGATGAATGTAAGGACAAGAGAGCACAATGGAAATGGAATGATTTAAATTAAATTAGGCTTATTGTATATGCCTCCACTATCAACAACTGCATAAAGTCTAAAGATTTTGAGAAGACTAAATGCGAATATGTGACTTCGGAAGATTAGCCTCTTGGTTATTCAGTAAGATGCCAATATCTCGGAAACTCATTTTCAGGAACACAGTTTCCATATCGAAGAGGATGAAGTTTGAAGTGTCTTCTACCACAATATGAAGCATTTTCAATGATTAACATTTGAACATTATATATCATCCTATTTTTGTTGTAAAAATATTTCGAAGATGGGATTTTGTCTCAGTCCTCAGACAAAAAGCAAACCTACTCATGTGGGTCAAATCGATAAGAGCTAGTGCCAGCATAAAGCAGGAGGTATGAACCAAACTGAACCCGTCATACCAGATGTATGAGACCTCGCATAATCTCATTTACGTGGTGTTTTAAATTTTTGCTATGGTTATGGTTAGGGTTATGTTGTGTTTCGTGCATATAGGTTGTCTTGTGTTGGTATTGTTGCTGGATGATAGGGAACTTTTTTAAAGAATGGACCAAACTGAGTAGACTTTCTTTCTGCAAAAACCCGGAAGCTGAGTACAGTCTCAGTGACATTAGAAAAATAACAAGGAGCAACGTCCAAAAGAGTTGCATTTTATTAATATACCATCGTCACGAACTTTTTAGATCTTGAGAAGCACTTAGTTAGATTCTGTCTGTGAGTAACAATAGAATAAAATGCAAATAGTAAAAATAAGTTAAAATGAAAACACACAAATTTCCATGAGTCTATTCCACGAACTGTTTAGGTACGAGAAAATATTTCCTATTCTTTAAGAGACTGGCACAGCTTATACAAATGTCCAGTGCACATGTACCTATATAAATTGGTTTACTCGCCTATCTCGTTAGAAGGAACTCTCTCCGATGGCAACCCAGGCTTCTAATAACTTCAGTCCCATGCTTTCTTTTAAAAGTGTAAATGGCTACAAGGTATGTATAGAATGTCCCCGGAGGAATGTGCCAGACTTCGGGAGGGTGTTCTTTATGTTAAAGTATGCCGATATAACCCAAAACACCTATGTTCAAAGTTGAACGGTTTCGGAGATAATGGCCAGAGAAGTGTGAAACTTTGAGAGGTGTTACACACTTGTTGATTACCAAATACATATTAAAACTGGCAGGAATATGTGGTTTCTGTAATGTTAATACTGTATGTAACATCAAACTAACTTGTGAGTGACATGAGCCATTAAATTGAACTACAAAGAAATCACGCCATGTCATAGTCGTCGTTAGGATTTCAAGCACTATACATGACACATGACTGGCAAGCGCTGACGTAACATAGCTGACTCCGCATTCTGGTATAAGCCGACTATGTAACTACTAAAATACACCGTCCCGGGTAAAAGACGCCTCATCACTGAATAAAATGCCGCTTAACAGTTCGGGATGATCTTTTATCCAGTGGTACACATACACACGCTGAGCATGGTCGCCTGGTTCCAGATGTTGTGCCCTTTGATCGTGGTAAGGATACAACTCTTCGTCCTGTAAAGTTCGCCACACCTGCATACGTGATACGCCGATGCGAGAAGCAATTCTACGAGTTGACAGACGCGGACTACTCTGAACCATCTCAAGAATGTTCTCTCGTGTGTTTCTTATTCGTACATCCTCCCTTTCAGAGTGCACAGAAACACTCGGAAGAGAACCAGTATCACGCAATGTCTGGTGAATTCGCGTAAATACACTTCGAGATGGAATCCTTCGATCGGGAAAACGCCTTTGGTATTCGTCAACAGCAACACGTGCATTGCCATACATACATGCAATTCATACATAAAATGCATATCACAATATTCCACGTGTGAAAACACAAAAGGAATTTCAGCAACTCCGCACAACTAATTTACCAACGGTTCACAACACGGCCGCAACGTACATTGAAGGTATCACATAAGCTTACGGCTAGTGTGAATCACCACATTCAAGGACAAACATAGATAAGACTTGTCAGCTGACAGGTACAGTGCGTGGACCCGCCAGAAGACCACATTTTTCTCGGGCCATTATCTCCGTAACGGTTCAACTTTGGACACAGGTGTTTTGGATTATATCGGCATACTTTAACATAAGAAACACCCTCCCGAAGTCCGGCACATTCCTTCTGGGACATCCTGTATACTAAGTACAATAAGAGAGTGTAGGACATATTCATTAAGAAATCGAGTTTTGTGAACAATATTCAATTTATGTAAGATTAAAATGGATTTAGTATTACACTCTGCATATGTAGGAGAACGATTCCTCTGGATTGCAGCATCGCCCACTGCATTCTGTTATTCCATCAAGTTTTGCCTACTTGAAGATGCCTTTCCAGAACATTTTTCAGGTTATTGAAATTATGTGCTCTGGTTGAATTTTGCTCTTAGAACATAACTTTCATATTTCAAAACTAATTTTATTAATTTGTAACAATCGTATATAAAACAAAAAATACTCTGCAATCGCCAGATACTGAACGAGTCAGTCTCCCTCTTCATGTTTCTACTCAGCATGAAGGACAAGAGTGAAGAAACTGTCACGGAGTAGCCTACTCAGCATGAAGAACAAGAGTGAAGAAACTGTCACGGAGTAGCCTACACAACAACAGAAACTGGAAACTCTGTCTGCAATGTTTACTGTCTTTCTGTCGCCTCATACTGGTCTACAAATTCCGTTATTGGCATAACGAAGCAAAATGCTTCAGGAAAAATATCGTTTTTGACAAATTATAAAAAAGGGTTCCTCACTGTAAGAAACTGCTTAGATCCGAGGTCATAATTCAGAAAATTTTTCTCCTCAATTTAATTGCTGAGATACGTCGAACGGAAAGAGGAAAACATACAAGAAATACGTTCCTCAACTTACATTTTCGGCAGGCCGCGCCATAGCTCAAGAGGTTAGTCGCTGGCTGCCCACCGCGGGGGTCCGGGTTCGATACCGTTTCTGGTCAAGTGGGATTTGTGGTGGACAAAGTGGCACTGGGGCGGGTTTTCTCCAAGTACTTCGGTTTCCCCTACCAATCTTCATTCCACCAAATTCTCCATCATTATACCCACCCGGGGCAAGCTGCAATAGGCCAATCAGTGGCCGCTGTGCCGAGTGGACCCAGTTGGACTCCACCCCCCACTAAGAATAATTTCCAAATTTTTTAAAATCACATTTTCAACAAGCAGGAAAGTACATTACTAAGTACTCTACAGTATCAACCTAAAATGCCACCTTCTTCTCACAATATAAAAACACAGGACAACTTGATTCTCTCCGCTTTAGAGAACGATATTTACTGCAAAACAAGTGTAATATATCTGTATCAAATTTATGACAACACAGCACCAATCATATATATCGACATAGCCATTACCTTCCTTAATCTGTTATACATATTTCTCCCAGAATTACTCGACACTTACGTAAACTTCAAACTCATGAATTTCCACGTTAGTAATTACACTCGGAAACAAATCACGCCAGTGAGTTACGGGCTGTAATACTTCAAATTTACCAACATCCATACAGAATACCTTCATATACAATTTATCAATTCCAGGGGACCCACTTTACCTCCACGGAACCTATGTCCGCCTGTCCTCTGTCCATTGGCCCATCCACTAAATGACTGGTATAACCACGAGATTCCAACATCGTGAAATTCTGTACGATCAACATGGAGCCAACCTCCTTCACACTACCAGACCCATGACAGTGCGAATTTGAGAATTTAACTGATCTGGATTATTATGAACATTGAAACATTTAATAATATGTAGCCACGGTATAAAATATCATTGCACGACACATGACTCAGGGACTTCCAAGGAAATCAAATCATTCGATTAATCCCGGCTTTAGGCCAAAGATATTTTACTTATTGCATGTTGTTACGGCGGTAAATAGTAAGAATATGGTCGTCTTGGATGAAATACTGTGCAGTCTGATAGATGGGTAAAACCTTTTCCAAGGAATAAAGTGCTCCAATCTTCAGGGTATAAGATGACAGAGGCAACAGATTCCTTCAGAGCTGGATTTGTATCTATGAGACTTCAGAGTGTTACATCCCAGAAGACAACGCCTAATTCATGTAAAAATTTGATATATGTTAAATATGCAACGGTTTATCCCATAATATTGTATCATGACGCAGCTGAAAGTTCCAATAAATTGTCACAGATAATGCAGTAAATATTCAACATGCATGCTTAACTGCAGTTCAGTGGCACAAATGAGTGTCCCATATTTCAATTTCGCAGATTTTTTCTACCCTGAAGATTGAGGCGATACGTTACTCCGAAACGTAGGTTCCCACAAGATCTACAAGGCGCCACATCCTAGAAGACTGCATTCTTCATATTCACCGCCGTGAGAACCTCAAATCGTACAGAGTTTCTAATATAATTGGGAGATTGTCTGCAAGGTCAGGAAGGGAAACCAGGCACTCCCCCTCCCCATCGGATTTTTTGTAAAGAAATTACAAGTGAATAAGCAATAAATAAACTAAATATTATTAATGGTACTTTCTGAAATTATCTTCTTCAATGCTGAATTATCTAAGAGTATGCATTTAAATTGTCTCAACTTACTTACTTACTTACTTACTTACTTACTTACTTACTTACTTACTTACATACTTACTCATTAAGACGAGCCCTTCTTGAGGAGCCGCTAATTCTGCAGCTACTCAAGAATTTCCCAGCTCAAACTGCTTAATATTAATTTGTGGCCCAATTTTGTCCCTACCCACTCCCCCACCCCCGATGTAAAAGGTTCAGCCTGTCCATAATGTGCGCTTTTCGATAAAATCTGGTATTGAGATAAAAAATAATTTTACATGAAGCTCAAGTGGGACCCGTCGATTTCTCCAAGTTCCTCAAGCACACTTTGGCCTTCATCGCACAAACGTCCATACCAGGTACTATCTGCAAAATTGTTATCAACTCATTTCGTTATGGTGAAGAAGTACATACAAGGAGCCGAGTTACCAATCTAGGTACAGCCGTAATGTGATTAATTATGCAACACTCTGCTCCTTCTTACGAACAGTACATTGGTATTTGCATC